ACACCCCCCGCCCACCCACTTCCCGCCCACGCCGCAACCGGAAGTGCGGTCGCGGCGGGGCGGGGCGGAGGTCAGTGGGGCTAGTGCTTAGCGCCGCTGAGACTGCTCGTGAGGTGGAACAGGTATATTGTCTCCCCCGTGGTACCCCGCCGCGCTCTCCTCCTCGCGGAGCCTCAGTCTCCCCGTCTGCGGGGTGGGCGCCCGCGCAGGCTCAGCCTTGTGTACCGTGCTGTCTCCAACGTCCTCCCTGCTTCTAAGGAGCCCCTGGCCCTAGAAGGGGCCGACGTGGGCGCAGATGCAAATTCCAGCGCTGATCACTGCGCGGCCGGTGGGGACACCGGGCCCCCAGAAGACGCTTGGCTCTGCTTCTACAGGGTCGGACAGGCTTCGTTGAGAAGAAACCTTCGAACTGAGGGATGAGTGGGAGTTTAAGTCTCAGAGTGACGGAGGATGGGGGTTGCCTAAGTCTTGGAACCTTGAATGTTACCACTGTGCCTTGTGAACAGAAATAACTCGATTAACGGAATGGGAGACTTTAAAGACGTTCCAAACTGTATCCAGGAAGCTGAAGATCCCGTGTTCGATAAGACTCTGTTGATGCATAAGAAAAGTCTCATGCTCGCGGCCACGGGTATAAATTTAAAAATAAATAAAAAGAATTGCCCTCTGCTCTTTTCCTCATATCCCTCCACTTCTGAGATCTTGACTTACCGTAGCCTGGGCAAGGATCGTTAATTCACTCATCTAACAAGCACCCCTGTGCTATAGAAACGATCAGGTGTCTGCCATAGTTCTGCCCCCAGGGAGCTTCCAGGTTGGCTGTGGCTAAAGAGGATTGTACAGGGCTAAGGACAAAGGGAAGCAGCTATCCTCAGGATGGGAGAAGGGTCCCTGGAGGACTTGACGCCTTAACTACTCCGAGTGCAAAGCAGACCTAAGGCAGCCTCTAGCAAGGGGAACCAAGCAGGCTGGGTTTTCTCCTGAGGGGCGGGGTTCCGGCTCCTCGGGGGCTGGGGAGGAAAGGGTGGAGCCTGGATTCCCCAGCCGAAATGCCATTGGCCGCACCCGCTGTTACCCGGCAGTAGTTGCAGAGGTCAATCCCGCCTTCTTTCTCTTTCCATCCGAGCAGGCAGCGGTGGCGGCTGTGTTGGGCAGCTATGGTAAGAGCTACGGAATCGGACTCCATCCGAAGGCCGTGAGGCGCGGAGGCTGGAGCAGGGGGCGCGGGCTGATCACCGGGGATCCTATCCGTTAGCTGCTCTGTGGGGCGCTGCGGAGAGTGACCTAGCGCCTTTACAGCCGCCTCCCGCCTTCTCTCCTGCCGGGTTCCGGCCGGGGAGACGCGCTGCGGCCGGGGCCCGGCCAGGAGAGACGCGCTGCGGCCGGGGCCTGCTGGTTTACGTCTGTCGAGTCCGGGTAGAGGTCCTGTCTGGCAGCTGGCCTGGGCGAGGGACGCCCGCAGAGGCCTCCGTCACCACCAGCGCGGCGGGGCCTGTGCGGTAACTGGGTAGGCCTGGGCGTAGGTGTAGGGTAGATGGCCTTGCGGGGTTCCTGATCCTGACCCTTCTTCGCGTGCAGGCCAAAATTAAGGCTCGAGATTTGCGCGGCAAGAAGAAAGAGGAGCTGTTGAAACAGCTGGACGACCTGAAGGTAGAGCTGTCCCAGCTGCGCGTCGCCAAAGTGACTGGCGGAGCAGCGTCCAAGTTGTCCAAGATGTGAGTGCCCGGCAGCTTGACCACGGCCTTCTGGGGGTGGGGCACACGTGTATTGGGAGCGTTTGTGGGAGGTGTCCGTTTATGAGTCTCGGTGCATCCTTGGGCTGCGAGGACACGCGTTAGGTGCTCATTCTTCTCCGCCTTTGCCCATGCAGCCCTTTAGCCTAAAGTGCCTTTGCTGAGTTTCTTTGGCTGGAGAGACTGAGTGTCCCTGAAGACCAGTCTTACTGTTACCGCCATTAGAAACTTTTCCTCCATCTCCCACCAGCACTTGATTTTTTCCCCCCTTGTCTTTCCCCACATGGTAGGTGGGTGCCTGGTCCCTCTTTCTTGAGTATGTTTTGCGTGGCTAAGAATCAGGGAGATTTGTGAAAGGAATATGAGTTTGAAGTCAGACAACCTGGGTAGATTCCACATCTGCCATGTCCCACCTGACTTGTAGGTTAGCTCACCTCCCAGAGGATTTCCTCCCGTTTAAATAAAATGTGTCGCCCTTTGTCCCACAGCCTTCTGCAGCTGGAAGGGTGCATTGGGTGAGTCGAGGGGCACAGCAAAGTTGCATATCAAACCATTGCCAGCTGTGTAGTGGTGACCCTGCCCCCACCCCCAGTAGCATTTTTGCTTCTTGGTCATGAGTGGCCTCTCCTGCCATTCTCATACCAGCCTGGTGGCCCAGCCCATGGCAGGATTCTTTCCCTCCCATCAGCTTGTTCAGATTGGCTTGCTTAACTCTTAATAGCCCTCAGGATGAATTCTGAGCCAGGGGTTGAAAGTTCTTTCCTGATGTACTCCACAAACCAGCAGTTAGTTCCTCCTTTAGTCCTCTTTGCTTCTGTCTCAGTGGACACTTAACAGTTCAAAAGTACCAGACTTGTCAGCCCTTCACTCCCTGTCTCAGTCATGGGGTCTTAGTCAGTGCTGTGCTTCCTTCCTATATTCATTAACATCTCTGTCCCATAGCCGAGTTGTCCGCAAATCCATTGCCCGTGTTCTCACCGTCATTAACCAGACTCAGAAAGAAAACCTCAGGAAATTCTACAAGGTGAGTCAGGGATGAGGGTAGTGGAGGTGACTGTAAGAAGCTAAGATCCAGCCCTTCTTGGGCCTGGAAGGGGTTCTGCTGTAGTGGGACTGGGTGTGATGTGGTCTGGTTGGAGTCTAGGGGTTTGACTCCTGTCTTTGGCAGTGTATGGGGATTGACTGTTTCGTTTTAACTGTAGCATCTACTTTGTGTCAGTCATTGCCAAGCTCCTGACAGTCTTGTTTTTCTAAGCACCCGAAGGCTTAGGTTAAGTACTGTCAGCAAAATGATGGACCCAGGTTCTAAATCATGTCTTGGGGAGTTTGGATTGAATGCTCATAGGAGGTTCTCATCCTGGCCCCCTAATTTTTTCTAGGATTTATTGGACTATATCTTATTTTGAAACCGCACTAGCTTTGGGTAGTTAAGGCAACTGGATCCCACATGGCCAAGTGCAGAGTTGAAGTCTTAGACCTGGTGCTTAATCCCTTGACAAACTGTATGCATATGCCTGCAGGCCCAAAATCCTAATGGGGGGAGTTGGACAAGTGATTGCACTGGGACCATTCCCCCACTAGGGGGTTCATTCTCTTTTTCTCTGGTGAGCGTAAGCATCCACTAATAAAAATTCTTTTAAAAAAACTCTTCAGTAGCTTCAAAATCATCAAGATAGTCAATAACATGAACAATTACCAAAATGATAGCTTTTCATATGAATATGCAATATGAAAAGTATTAGAACTGTTTGAAATATTTTTAAAGGTTTCACGTGTTAAGAATTACAAGAGGTGGGCCAACAGGTGGCATGGTAGTTAATGTGCAGGATTCCCAGATGGCCACTGTGGTTCAAGTCCTAGACCTGGCATCTTTCTCTTGTTTGTGCTCCATAGCAAGTTTAAAAGTAATAAATTACAAGAGGCAATTATTTTAAGCTGAGCTCCTGTATTAGGCCCCAAGGGTAAGACTGAAGATCAGAATGGAAGGCCTGTAGCTGATGTGACGTGAAGGGTGCTGGCTCTTACATGCCAGACGCCATAGTTTGAGTCTGGGACCCAGTGACTTGAAAATCATTTCAGGCACATGTGTGTACGTGCCCCAATCCTGAGAGAATGGAGAAGGGATTGTGTGGCCTTCCTTTCTGGGGGTGATTTCTCACTTTCCTTCCCTCTGTCTCCAGCGAGCACATGTGCCCTTAGAGTAAAAACTTAAGGGAAAAAATTGGATTCAGCTTATGTCTCCATGTGACCAAGCCAGAGTTGCTGTCTGGCCTTGAGACATCAAAGCCTCACATTTTGATAGCCATTTCCTAGTCTTATCCTTACCGTTAGTGTTTCCAGGATTTGAGCAGGGCTGCAGGACCTGTGGGCAACTGTCTGTGTACACACTCATTTGACTTAACTACAAAGTTGGCTTGTGCGCTTGTTGGGGCTGGCTGGAACTTGTGACATGGGTTCAGGTGCTGTGCCTAGGTGGGGTTCCTTGGAGGGATCCTCAGTCACACTTACAATGCTCTTAACTCACTCAGGCCTGGTCAGTTTATCCAGGATAATCTTTCTTCGTTAAAGTCATCTGATTAGGGGCTTTAATTGTTGCTTTACCTCAATGCCCGAATTAGTATGTGAATAATTAGAGGGTTTGACATATCAGAAAAGCTATCCTGGTGTGGCTGGGCTCGCTGCTTGCGATATGAGCATGGGGCTGAGGCGGGGGGGTTACCAGCACACCGGGGTGTGTGCATTTGTATGTGGGAACATTTCTGAGGAGTTGGTCTGAAGCTTCCATCGGATTCTGAGGGGCCTGGGTGGAGGTGGTGTCCAACAATATTCAGGGAGAACCTGTGCTGCTTTGCTAGGCACCCTCACTCAGTCAGGGAGGGTTGGGAGGCAGCTTCTTCAGCAGCCCTGTCCAGGGAACCCTGACTTCATGTGACTGCGGTGACCAAAAAAGTGAATTTTTAATGTAAATAGCTATCTGTGAATTGCATGTGGGCCATACCAGTGTCTGCTGACATAAGTGTTACTGGTGGACAAAAACCTCCTTCCTCCAAGTCCCCCTTAGAGCTCACCCGTACCCTGTGCAGCTTCTTTCTGTAGTTCTCAGACTTGAGAATCCTCATTCACTCTATAGGCCTCTCCTGGGCCTGTACCTCCAGGCTGTCAGCCCTTCCCAGAAGGAGCCTGATCCTCGGAGGATCGTGTGTACTTGGCTTTCTGCCTGCTCACCTAGTATCTGCAGTGATCTCAGTGGTCTTAAGAGAAGCCTGTCTTGGGAACCAGCAGTTAGCGTAATGGCTATGTCGCTGGATTCCCACGTAGTCGACCGCGGTTCGCGTCCCGGACCCGGTGGCTTAAAACTCACGCCGGGCGTGTGTGCGTGCGTGCCCAAGATCCCGAGAGGAGATTGGAGGAGAAGGGATTGCGGCGTGACCATCCCCCCTGGGGGGTGATTTCTCGCTTTCTGTCTCTCTCTGTCTGTCTGGCGAGCGCACGCGCCCTATAGCAAAAATCTCTCAAAAAAAAAAAAAAAAAGAAGCCTGTCTTAATCACTGCCTTCCTGCAGATGGGCCTCAGTGTGTGTTCAGTGGGAGCCCCTGGGATAGGGACCCACTCTGAGTTGTGGCTAAGCTAGCACTCAGCACAGGGCCTCCTCCTGAAGAAGACTAGGGGACCTCAGCAGAACAACCCTCCACAAGGGCTGCCCCGAGTCCAGAACTCCTCTGGAGAGCATCTGGGGCCAGAACAAGGGAAAGGACATGTGCCCAGGAGGGAGAGGCTCCAGCTCTTTTAAAGCTCTGGACAAGAGTGTGTGGGGACTCCTGAAGCCAGAAAGGAGCAGGACTTTGCCCCTCCTGGCAGGATAACCTTGGCCAGGCCAGCTCTCTGAGGCTTAGCATTCTGTGAGGGGGTCCTGTACTTACTAGATTGTAACTTAAAGCCGTGACAGTCGCCATCCCCAGGACTTAGCTGGTGCTTAAGGTATCCCTTTTCCTGGGTTGTGTAACTTTTGACACCGTGACTGGAAATTGGGAAGTGAAAGGAGCATTGAGTCAGGAGCCAGCAGACATGGTGCGATCCCCAGTCCTGCCTCTGGTGATTATGGCACCTGTCGGCCCAAGAAATCAGCAGGCTTCTGTAAAATGGACACAGCCGTAGCCTTGGATTGAGGGCATCAGCAAGCTAGTGAGCCTTGCCAGTGGCCTACTGACCTCATCCTGGGTGGGCAGCCTCTCCAACCACCCTCCCTAGGACCTCCCTCCCAGGCTTCCTTAGCTGCTGCAGTAGCTCTAAGACCCTAGTCCTCAGGTTCACCCTGCCGTCCGTCTCCCAGGGCAAGAAGTACAAGCCCCTGGACCTGCGGCCCAAGAAGACCCGTGCCATGCGCCGGCGGCTCAACAAACACGAGGAAAGCCTGAAGACCAAGAAGCAGCAGCGGAAGGAGCGGCTGTACCCGCTGCGCAAGTTTGCGGTCAAGGCCTGAGCGCGGGCCTCAATAAAACAGAACTAGCTGGTGTGCTGTGTATGTTTCCATTAGCTGGCCTGAAGAGATGGGATGGGGCTGGGAAGGTGAGGTGATGGTTGTGGGGCGCAAGTGTCGGGATTCATGCAACACGCTGCTTGCCTGCGCACCTCTAGGAAGGCCAGGAGGTGTGAAGGCCATCGGGGGAGGTGGTAACAGTCAAGGGGTCCTGCATGGCTTTGTTGAGCAGTGGACTTCGTCAACAGCTCCAGAAACTAAGAGCTTCCCATCCAGGGTGAAGGTGCAGGCGTGGGCCACCTCCAGAACTCCCTGCCAAAAGCACAGCTGGGCTGAAGATGCGAGTCCTCTGGTCTCTGCAGTTTGTGAGACTGTCCAAAGCTCCCTTGGGTGCTGTAGCCATAGACCTTACCTTCAGGGTGTCCAGGCACTTTCCTGTGGTGCAGTCCCAGACTTTGACCTGGAAGTAGAAGGGAGGCAGTGCTTTAGCCAGTCCCAAGTCTGGGCTTTGTCACCTGCAGGTGTAATTTAAGTGCCTGGGAGAGGAGCTGCCACATTTGAGGGCAGGGGTTTCCGCTTTAAGCTATTTGGGTCGTAGAATTGTCTGATACCATTTAGACCATGCCAGATCCTGGTAGATGGGGACATTATTGAGAATGGAGGGCAGAGGCTCTAGGGGAAGGGGTATGGGCACGGTACCATGCGGGAGTAGCCAGCGCTGGCCAGCCTCAGCTCATCAGGAGAGAAGGCTATGCTCTTCACCCAGCTCATGTGGCCCTTGAGCTGGACAAGTAGGCTGTTGGTCATGGGCTTCCAGATGTGGACGGCCTTGTCCCAGGAGCCAGATGCCTGAATGGTAGATAGCTCTGGGCCCAAAGAAGCCTATGCCCCCCACTTTTGGGGGGAGAGTTTTTGCTACAGGGCACGTATGCTTGACAAAGTGAGAAATCATCCCCCAGGGAGGATGGCCACCCAGTAATCCCTTCTCCGTTCTCTTGGGCACACACATGCCCGGTATGGGCTTAAATCACCGGGTCCAAGACTCGAACCTCAGTCAACTACATGAGAGTTCAGCGACAGCCATTGTGCTAACTGCTGGTTCCCCCCTCCCCCCATTTTTTTTAAGAGACAGGGACCCACCGTGCTGTGATCCCCTCCCCCAGTCTTTCAGACAAGATTATAGGCACATTCTGGTTCTCTACAGAACCGACCCAGGGCCTGGCGCTCGCTCACCAGGAGGCCCGATGCTGAGTAGCACAGGCAGCTGATGTTCCCTCGGTGACCCTCCAGTTCCTGGTAGAAAATAGCTGGGGTTCCCGCCCGCAGGTCCCAGATGCGCAAGGTGGAGTCCCAGGAGCCAGTGGCCTGTCAGCAGCTGCTATGAGCAAACTGGCTAGCCCATTCCCACCCTCCCTGGGCTGAGACCAACCTCAGAGCCTCTGCCCTTTCCATGCTCAGCCTGGGCCCCATGCAGCGGCGCCACTTACTAGGTGGTCTGCGCTGGGTGAGAAGTCACTGCTCTGCACGGAGTCCTGGTGCCCGGCTAAGAGGCGCAGCATCTGGCCCGACTAGAGAGGAGAGCCCTGAGTGGCAACTGGGAGGTGGAGGAACGACAGCCAGAAGCCTTGCAGCTCCAGGCCGCAGGCCTCAGGTTAGAGAGGTCTACCTGTGGGTCTGAATCTTGTGGCCCAGCACAGGTTCTGGGTGGCTTGCTGGGCCTTGACAGGAAGGGCAGTCCTGGCAGGGAAACCTAGGTGGGTGTGTTTGGGAGGTGGCTGCGGCCAGATGGGATGTGTCAGATACATCCCAGCAGGTCTAGCTGGTGGTACCCACAGGTGGGTTTGAGCCACCAGGGTACAAAAGTGGGGTGACCTCTTTGGGGCTGGTGTGGAGGGTGTGTGTCTCCAGATCCCAGGTCTGGCCGGACCCCAGTACCTTCACATACCTGTACCTCCCAGAGCATCACCTGCTTGTCCCAGCCACCCGAGGCAAGCCGCCTTGAGTCAGGACTGAAGCTGACTGTCTCCACACTCCTCTTGTGACCTGCAATCCTGGGGTTGGAGGTGACAGAACACAACAAGGCCCAAAAGAAAACCCAGACCTGGCGGCTCTGGGTGCAACCCACTCACCCTTCAGGACCCGCAGACACTTGGCTCTCGCTGCATCCCATAGGCGGATGGTGCAGTCACAGGAGGTGCTAGCAAAGAGGCGGCCATCAGGAGAGAAGCGGCAGAACTTCACAGGGCCTGGGTGGGCAGCCATTCTCAGGAATAGGGCCCTGTCTTGAAGTCCAACCCCTGCAAATGTCTGGCCAAATTACCACCTTCCCCAGGCCAGCCAGCTGGAAATGTCCAGATTTCCATGTTTGGCCTGGGCTGGCTCTCAGCCTAGAACTCCCAGCCCCAATCTATCTGCCCATCCAGAAAATTGGCAATACCAAAGTCAAATGCAAGCACCTCCCACAACTTTCCCCATTAAGCCAGCCTAGGGTCACTCTCCAGCCATGGACTTTTCTATTAATAGCAGTCGTCAGTCTGTTCTGTAACTCCCTTACTTTGTCCCCCAATAATTACAATAGTTACTGGGCCAGCAGGTGACCAGCTTCAGGGTTTGAAGTCCTGTACACTGCAGCTTGAGGATAATGCTGGCCACCTGTGCATGCCCCAAATCCCACAAGGGAAGTGGAGAAGGGATTGCTGTGTGGCCATACCCTGGAGGGAGGGTGATTTCTCTTTCCTTTGTTTCTGGCAAGTGCATGTGCTATATAGCAAATTAAAATAAAGATCTGGCTTCAGGGCCAGTAAGTGGTGTGGTGGTGAAGGCACTGGATTCCCATGTGACCAACGGTGATTCAAATCCCAGACCTGGCAGCTTGAAAAATCATGCTGGATACATGGGCATGTATGCCCAAAATCCCAAGAGGAAAGTGGAGGATAGATTGTGCTGTGACCGTCCCCCTGGGGTGATTTCTCACTTGCCCAGTCTCTCTCTGATAAGCACACACACCCCTGAGTAAAAACTTAAAAAAAAAAAATTGTATTTGGATCATAAAATTTTGAAATCTCTGCTGGCTCTATGGTCTGGTGGGCCATGTAGCCAACTGCACGTTTGAGTCCTGGACCCAGTGGCTTGAGAAAAGACACAGCACCAGTGCCTGCATGCCCAAAATCCTGAAAGGAGGGGGATGAAAGAGGAGGGATTGTGGCGTGACCATTTCCTATGAGGCACTTCCTCCTCAGGGCCTGCAAGGAGAAGAAAATCCAAATCTGTACAGAGTTTCTTGGTAACATACAGTTTCCGTGAATTTTTTGAAGCGTCTATGTATGCCCCATCCCACAGCGAGGAAATGGCTCAGAGAGGTTATGTGACTTGACCAAGGTCCCAGTCAAACAAGCAGATGCAACATCCTGTGGACATTGTGTTATGATGAGGCCAGTCACAAAGCCAACGACTGTATGGCTCCACCGTTTGTAGACACAGCAGGTGGTCACTGGGCTGGGGTGTGGGTGTGGGTGGTGAGTGTTTAAATAGATTCAGAGGTGTGATTTGCAAGATGAATAATTGTGGAGAGTCGTTGCACAGCAACCCGAGTGTATTACCACTACGGAACTGCACACTTCCCTAAGGTTAAGGTCGCAAATATTAAATATTTCGTACCACAAAAGAAAACAGCGTGTGTGGTCTCGTGGTTAGGGTAGCTGGATCCCACATGGCCCACTGCACAGTTTGAGTCCCAGACCTGGTGGCTGGAGAAACACATGGGGTGCATGTGTGTGGGTGTCTAAAATCTCGAAGGGAGAGAGAAAGAAGGGACTGTGGTATGACCATCCCTGCAGGGGGTGCTTTCTCACTGTCCCTCTCCCATTCTGTCTTCTGCAAGTGCATGTGCCCCCTAGCAAATCAAAGATGACTGGGTCTAGCAGGTGGCATAGTGGTTAAGGCTCTGGACTCCCAAGAGGTCAAGAGTTCAACTGAGACCAGCTGCATGTGCGTGTGTATGTGTGCCCAAAATCCTGAGCGGAGAATGGAGGGGAAGGGACTGCAACGTGACCATCCTTCTGGGGTTGATTTCTTGCTTTCTATCTCTCTGTCTCTCCAAGTGAGCGCACAGTATCCTATAACATAAATCTCAACAAGGACAAAAAAAAAACCAGTAGGATCTGGGAACCAACAGTTAGCTGTCGCTGGACTCCCACGTAGTCAACCACGGTTCACGTCCCGGACCTGGTGGCTTAAAACTCACGCGGGGCGCGTGTTCATGTGTGCCCAAGATCCCGAGAGGAGAATGGAGGAGAAGGGATTGCGGCGTGACCATCCCCCCTGGGGGGTGATTTCTCGCTATCTGTCTCTATGTCTCTCTGTCTGGCGAGCGCACGCGCCCTGTAGCGAAAACCTCTCAAGAAAAAAAAAAAGGATCTGAATCCACGTGTGGTATCTGAAGCTGCTGCCCACTACCCCCTCAGTCCTGTCCATTCATCTTGCCCCAGCCCTGGGAGGCAAGATGCCCAGCTCTAGAATGCCAGAACAGACCAGCCTGTCTTCTTAGCCTAGCCGCGGAGCCCACCTGTGTGGCCGCCCAGCCTCCACAGCAGCCGAATGCTCTGGGTCTCCCAGCCATACACCCAGCCATCTTCTGAGGCGGTGAGCAGCCTCTGGCCGTCGGGGGAGAAGGCAGAGGAGTTAACCTGGAAGAAAAGCACAAAAATTACTCCGTTCTGGAGCCCCTTGATGCACCCTGACCTGGACAACACTAGGGCTGGCCCTAAACACTGGACCCCAAGAGCTGGGCATGGAGTTTAGGCTTAAGGCATCGCTCTGCAACTAGAGCCCAGAATCCAAGACCCTCGAGGCCTCTGGAGCCTGTGGGGACCAGCAGTGGGCGTAATTCCTACATCGCTGGACTCCCATGTAGTGGACTGTAGTTTGAGTCCTGGACCTGGTGGCTTAAACTTTCGCCAGGCGCTTGTGCGTGCCCAAGATCCCCATAGGAGAATGGAGGAGAAGGGATTGCGGCCATGTCCCCTGGGGGGTGATTTCTTGCTTTCTGTCTGTCTGTCTCTATCTATCTGCACGTGCCCAATAGCAAAAACCTCTAAAAACAAACAACCAAACAAAAAACAAACAAACAAATGAGCCTGAAGCCCCACAGCCAAGAACTCGTCCCAGAGCTGGAGCTGAGAACTGGGAGTTCAAGACCTACTCCAATGAGGTCACCGTGGAGCCAGAGCCCTATGTCTAGCCAGTCCAGAGCCTGGAGCCCATTTTAGAACTAAGCTTAGAACTCAGAGCCCTTCCTGGAGCCTGAACCGGACTGGAGTGTGGAACCCAGCTGGAACCCAGCTGGAGCCCAGAGAACGCTCTGGAAACTCACTACCTCCTAGACCTCTTGGACCTTAGGGTCTGGGCGGAGCCCGCGGGCCTCACCTCCCCGCGGTGCTGTGAGAAGAATTTCACTTTCCCCACGGCCAGCTTCCCGGGGGCCCCGCTATTCATGGGAGCCCGGTGGGGTCCCTCCTAGGTGGGCGCTAGCCGGGCCCGCGGGGGCCCTCCTGGGACCCGATGGAGTCCGGGAAGGGGAAACTGTGTACACGCCGTCTCTATGGTAATCGGGGCGGGCGCGCAGCCGCGGTGGAGTCTCTGGGAAGACAAAAAAGGGGGGCCTGGGGAAGACAACTGTCGGGGGGCGGGGAGGTGGAGCCGCATCAGGCAGAACCGAGGGCGGTTCAGAGAAGGGACTTCCCGGCCCCGACGCTGACTGCCCAGGCCTTGAGCAGCTCGGGCCGCTGGACGGGACGGTGCGCAAGGCGACCGCTAGAGGGCGCGCCAGTCCCGCGCACCGCGCCTGCCCTCGCCGCTCCGAGACGTGCCCAGAGCCGTGCACCCTTTGCAGACCAGGTGACAGCGAGCTTCTTTCCCCTTCTGCACAGCGAGAGGATCAGCCCTGCCCACAGGACTCCAGGATTGAGCCTGGCACATAGTGGGTGCCCAGGAGGGCTGCCCCTGGAGTCACGATCCCTCTGCCCAGGATGTGCAGGGGGGCTGGTGTGCGGAGCAGGAGGCAATGGTGGGGAAGGGGGGAAGGAGGGGGACAGACGCAGACAGGGTTGCCCACACTTTGGGCTCAGGCTGCACACCAATGCTCCCTGAGGGGGTGGAGGCTGCCCAGGGAGGCCCAGAAGCCCCCTATATCCTTGTGAGAGGACGCGACAGAACAGCACTTGTTTTTACTGCGTTTTACGGAGGAGGAAACTGAGGCCAAGAGGTCGGGAGACTTGTCACTCAGCCAAGAGAAGTGGGACTGGAGTTTCACCCTGCGCCTGGCTGACCAAATCTGGAGCCTATATTAGGACCACCTGCCATGAATCCCAACAGGCCTCGCGGCAGATCTGAGGCCCCTTTCGCCTGGTACATCTGGGAAACCGAGGCCCCAAGGGGGCAGGAGTTAGCCCAGCCACCCAGAGCCCTGGGAAAGCTGGATCCGCAGCTGTTGGGGGCAGTGGACAGAGTCAACTTCCCCACACCCTGTGGACTCCCTGGGGCAGGGGTGGGGCAGTTGGGCTTTTCAAGCTCCAGCCTCCAGGGTTCCTAGTGTGACTCACACCCCTCCCCCCAGACCCTTTTGCCAGAAAGTTCTCACGAGATCCGAGATCCGCAGAGCTCTGCTCTATTTTAGGTCCCAGACAGTTAGGCGGGCAAGGGGGCTGACAATGGCAGCTTTGAGGCGGCCCCACCCCCACCCTAGCTCCCAGAGGGCCCAGGTCACAGACTTGGCTCCTCAGGGACTCTGCACTGGGCCTTATAGGCCGTCCCTCCACCCAGAGATGGGTCCCAGACTCCACTTAATATAAATGACTCCCCACCCCTGCTTGGACACTGCCGCCCGCACCTGGCCCCGGGCACTGCCCAGCCACCTGTTTGCTCCCGGTTTACCCAAACCACCTTCTCTAACCCAGCCCATCATGCCAGAGCCCTCTAGGCAGACCCTGTTCACCTGGCCTGGTGAGCTTGGCTGCTGGGGTGGATGGAGTTGGGCTTAAACCCTGTCTGTCCTGGAACCACCTGCAGTGGATCCCAGAGCCTGGGCCAGAGCATCATGCCCCCTCCTGGCCTCATCCTGCCCTGCCCCACTCCAGGAGCCAGCCACACTGTGCGTTTTTCTGCCCCTCCACCTTCGCTCCACCTGGACTGCATGGCTCTCTCCCCCCCACACACACACACACGCGCGCGTGTGTGTGCGTGGTGAGTCTACCTGGAGGATTCTTTCCTGTCCTCCTGCCTGACAGATCCAACTCAGACATCACTTTCTAGACTCGGCCTTCCTGCCTGTCCCCCCCACAGGCCAGGCCAGAGCTCCTGCCCCAGTGAGACCCACAGGTCTGGGCTAACCCTGGGTCCTACCAACCACTAGCGCTGCGATCTCGGGCAAGCACCTGCTGTCTCAGCGCCTCGTTTCCCAGTCTGTAAAGTGGGGGTGCTCCCAGGGGTTGCCTGTGAGCAGTCGGTGAAGCGATGCCTTGCCAAGAGCACCTGGGGTGCAGCAGCTACTTGGCAGTGGTGGGGAGAGCTCAAAAACTAGGCTCCAGGGACCAGCAGTTAGCATAATGGCTATGTCGCTGGACTCCCACGTAGTTGACCACAGTTCGTGTCCCGGACCTGGTGGCTTAAATTGACGCTGGGTGCATGTGCGTGCGTGCCCAAGATCCCGAGAGGAGAATGGAGGAGAAGGGATTGCGGTGTGGCCATCCCCCCTGGGGGGTGATTTCTCGCTTTCTGTCTCTCTCTGTCTGTCTGGCGAGTGCACGCACCCTACAGCAAAAACCTCTCCAAATAAATAAATAAATAAATAAAACTAGGCTCCCAATGCCAGGCTTTCCCCTGGGTCCCACAGCCTAGGGTGCCTCATGGTGTGAAAGGGGCCAAGTGGCAACAGGGCACAGCTTCACGCCCAGCAGGGCCGACGACTTGCCACCTGGTTTGGGCAGGAGCTACACCTGCAGGCTGTGGTCTGTGGGGACGCACGGGTAGGTCCCAGTGATGGTAGCACAGAGATATGTCATTGGCCCAGGCCTGTCTGGGGATGGAGGGCCCCAGATCCCAGTCTCCCAAGGAAGGTCCTCGGGAGCATCTTTCTCCAGATGACCAATACATGGGTGCTCCTGCTCCTCAGGGAGCACACTACTAGCCTCTACCTTCAGCCTAGCTGTCCTCGCGGGG